GTACATAACTTTCTGGGAGACTTACTTCACCACAAACCGCTCCCTTCTGGATTTTTGAAAGTATCTATTGATATTGCATTAGAGGGGAGTGCATTGTTGCCTATACCAGATGATATTTTAGGCGCAACAGTGGTGGGAGACGCAATAGGAGCGTATGTGGCATGGCCGACAAATCTGATTTGCATAGATGATGAGGTAGGTTGAACCTTTTAATACTCAAATGTTTTATGATCCATACATGAAAGTTATTCTTACATCTACATTTTCTTATTTACATGATGATCTTAGACTCCTACAAAATCCAAATCAAAAGATGATAGAATTATTGTGCGGGATACCGATTCAGCTGCATCAAAGAAACAGGTACTACTACAGTTACAAGATTATCTTGTTATACATTAATTACTGAACTTATATATGACTTTTAGGTTCATGATCAGCAGTCGCAACAAGTCAGCAAGGGTAAGATGCCTGAAACTTCCAAGGTTCCCAGAAAAGCATTTGTTCCTCAATTTAAGATGTGCCTTGAAACATATGTCGGAACATCAAATGTGCCTGAGGGTGGCATCCGTCAAATACACATGGAGGCAGGTATTTTCGGTTTTGAATATCCCGAAACAATTGCTAAGGAGGATTTTGATCAGGTTTTTAACCATTCTGAATTGGGCGTCGATGTTATGCATTCATACATCAGGTACTTCGATCCATTTTAATTAAATAATTGAACATTTTAAAATTTGCTCGTTTAACTGAATATTCTAATGTTGATTATGTTTTTTTAGGTTCTTGTATGACAAGTTATTGGTCCCGAATGAATTGACTTCAGTATTCGCATTCTTATCTGCTAGCTGTGTCAACTCACGTATAATAGACCAGACACCGGATACAGTCAAAGAGTACACAGTGCAGAGATTTATGCGTGCGACTACGGAGAAGTTGTTCTTGTTGCCATATAATACTGGCCATGGGTTAGATTTTATTCTAAATTCATTTATTATAATTGTTCGATTTTTCCCTTTCTATATAACATTTCCGTCTAAACTGTTGTCTTATTTTATAGTGGACATTGTTTGTTGATCGCGATTAATCCGACGAAAGAAATAGTGTATTATATAGATTCATTGGATGGCGATACAACAAAATATGAAAATCTGAGGAACTTTGTTGATACGTAAGTGATGAGATATACTGTTGTCTTTAATTATATATCTTTATTTATTATGTGACATTGTTCTAAATATGCGTTTATATTATGTTAGAGTTATACAAATATTCAGAGCACAAAGAGATGCAACGGTGCCAAAAAGCAAGGCTAACAACATCAACTGGATCAGAGTGGAGGTATATTTTTGCATGTTTGACTGTTATAGTGGTTCTACTTGATAAAACTATTTAAACTATATATCCTGATAAATGTTCGTTTGTTTTTTCCATTTATAGTGTCCTCGGCAGCGCAATGGTATTGACTGTGGATATTTTGTATTGCGCTTTATGAGGGAAATTATTCTTTCTGGTCAACTTGAGATTCCAGTCATGGTATGGATCGATTCATTATATAAGTTATATGATTCATTTTGATAATTATCTGATACTTCATCTGAGTAATTAGTTTTAAAATTAAATCTTATTCGATCTGTTATATTATGTAGTATTTTGATGAATTCATGTGCGCTACTTACACGAAAGCAAAATTGGAAGAAATTAAAGAGGAATGGTGTCAATTTATTCTTGGGTTGAGAATTGTATAGAGTTATCGGATTGGAAGAATTGTAATTATATGTAAATTGAATGTATTTGTGTTGTTGTAATTCTGAGGATCGAATTTTGTTGTAACATATTTAAACAGGTTTATGTGTATATTAAAATGTTTATGAACAAAGTGATGAGTTACAATGTATCCAAAGTTTTGAATTGTATATATAAGGCCAAAGTTTTGAATTGTATATTTAAGGCCAAAGTTTTGAATTGTATATATAAGGCCAAAATGTTGAAATAAAGGCCTGAATTATAAGCAGATTTGTGTAATATAAGCAGGTTGTTGGTAAATATACAAAACAAGGTGAATATTTTTTTAAAAAAAAAATTTAAAATCTGGGACATTAGACAGCGCTTTTACAAAAAAGCGCTGCTAAAGGTCACAAACATTACGCTACAAAAGCGCTGCTATAGGTTTGGAAGGGGGGGTCTAAGACAGCGCTTGTAAAAAGCGCTGCTAAAGGTGGGCTCTAAGACAGCGCTTTGTGAAAGCCCTGCTAAAGGGGGGGATGGTTGGGGGGAATATGCAACGCTTATGAAAGCGCTGCTAAAGGGCTATAAAAGCGCTGCTAAAAGTGCTGCTGAAGGGTGCCTTTAGCAGCGCTTTTTCCATAAAAAAAGCGCTGCCTTTACCTTTAGCAGCGCCACTTTTGGCAGCGCTTTAAAGCGCTGCTAAAGGCCTAAAAAAGCGCTGCTAAAGGTCTTTTTTGGCATAGTGTGTTACACTTGTTTCTGCATTAAACACAAGTTTCTCCATAATTGATGGATTTATGGTGCATTGGTTTGAGCAAGCGTTGTTAAAGATTCACCCACACATCTCGAGTCGTTGAAGCATGTGAGATGTTGTTGGATATATTTGATTATGTCACATTGATCAACCAAGTTGTCACTGTTGAATCCACATTCTCCAAGTCACGGTACACTTCAGATTGACTTAATGATTTCTTGATGCTTCCATCAATGAAACCTAGTTTCATCTTCGCACGCAAAGCCGTTTTGATTGATTTTGTCAGTGTGCGGTAATTTTTTCCCCTTTAGTAATGTTGTCACGAGTGGAGATTCAGAGTTGTTTAGATGATATGCTTGTGTATTCTTTGTTGTGTTTTTTATTTTAGGTTTGAAGGTATTTTTCTTCTCTAATATCTCTTCCGAATAGAAATCGTGCTTTGATGCCATACTAGAAAGTTAACTTGAAAAATATGTTGTATTCATATATTGGCTGATAATCTATCTTTTAGAGCTTCAAAATAGGATCAACCCTAATAACCCTGATAAAATAGGATGGTTGGCGTCATTTGGATGGATGCTTTGTGGATAATTTGTACATTACGCAATAGAGTCATCTTCAAAGGGACAATTTCTATGTTAGAAGCGTGTTGGATGAAAATTAAGATTTTATCTTGAAAATGGTTTTGTTTAGCCAATTTTCCTCTGCCTTCGTTTTATTTCTCTAATTGGAGTTCCAACCCTTTGTATTACATTATAAACTCTTGATGTTTATTAGTTTTGTAAGAGTTTCGAGTACTGTACTCGTACTATTTAATCGATTTCTTTGCTTATTAAAAAAACCCGAACAAACTAATAACAATCATAATAAATCTTAAGAAACTAATATCAAATTATTAAATTTATCTCTAATAATTTTTATTATTAAAATAAAAATAAAATTTATAAAACTCAAAATGAGATGGAAAGTTTTTTTTAAAAAATCTAAATTAAAAGTAAGAGAAAATGATATTAATTAAAAATGGGAACGGTCGATAACAAATTGTTGAATCAAAATTTATCCGATTTATTCAAATATTATTCTCACGAAAGTTTATTTCAAACAAATTATTAAATTAAATTATAGTTTCAGTGAATTTAATTCAAAATATTAAAAAATATCAGATAAGAGGTTTAAAATAAAATTATGCTTGAGATAGAAAATATAGCATATAATTTAAATACAAACATTTTCGTACAAATTATAACTAAAAATCTAGAAAGAATAAAAGAAACATTTTTGATATACAAAACAATAAAAGAATTAAAATGTTTATGCACATTTAGAAAAAAAATATGACCAATTTATTTATTTTTAAATAGACTATTTATATAATCGTTTAATAGAGTGTTATCAACGGTTAAGATTTAATATAAATTTTGAAGATTTATGCCGGAATGACGTGACTTTTTATATATATATATATATATATATAATTAAAGAAGTTGTGTTAATCCAACCACGATTAAGACCAAAGACAACATCAACAAGCATCTGAGAGACAGCAACATTATTAGTTAGCAAATTGTTCCACGGCAGCTCAAGAACACATTCCGCTTATCACAAACGCGTCGTAGGTTAGTGTAACTCATTTCAAATTATTCTTTCTCTTTCTCTCTCTTGTTCGCACGCTTCTCTCTCTCTCTCTACTATTTTCTCTCTATTTCCACATCCTTCTCATCTCTCTCTATCGATTTTCCAGCTTCCTCCTCCCTCCACCTTCACCTTCACGTTCTTTTTCTTGCTTTTCACTTTTCATCATTGTTTTGTTTTTTTGTGCTCTTCCTTTCGAGCTTGATCCCCGCTTCATATTTCCTCTCCTTGATCCAACAACCATTTCAAACATCCTCAAAACTGATCCACGTTCCCCGAGAATTCGAACAAGGGATTGATTCTTACGTTTCTCTTTTCGAATTCTTCAAACGCTCCCTATCTTCTCTTTCAAATTCTCAGAAATTCACAGATTCTTAATAATGCTGCTATCAACCTTTTTGGTGAGCATTTTCCTCTGATTCTTTTATACTCAGCCAATTACAGCCTTTAACATGTATATTTAAGGGTTTTCTGTTGCAGGGTTGGATCTTCAATTTTTCATTATTTTTTACAACCTAATTTCCTCTTTTTATTTATATAAGCTTTGAATTTTTTTTATAATTTATATCTAACATACTTGAGGAAAAAATATGATTTCATTTGGGGGGTTAATTTTCCATTTTCCTAATGATATTTTTTTTCTTCGTTTTGTCGTGTTTTTTGGAATAAGGAATATACTAGCAATAGATTCTTATATGCATATCTCTTTTGCTATGATTGCAGAGATTCTGCTGTTGATGGGATCAAGCGTTCTTAATATGGACAGCTCAGAAACATAAGCTTGGATCATTATTACTACCACTGGACTTTGAAATTTGTCTACTCAACAATTACCTGAATTTCTGCTGAATCTTCTTTTGAAATTTTATTTATTTTTTGGAGAGTCATGGCTATTGAACTTGCTCTTATTGCTACAAAGTTACAAAATGTATCTACTTCGGACCACGCCTCCATAGTTTCCATGAACTTGTTTGTGGCACTTCTATGTGCTTGTATTGTTCTTGGCCATCTTCTCGAGGAGAATCGGTGGATGAATGAGTCCATCACTGCCCTTTTGATCGTAAGTCTTCACTTTCCTTTAGCTATTATTGCTTAGTGTCTATATCTAATTCTTTTGCATGATGACTAAATTGAATTTGGATTTTTTTTCAGGGAATTTGCACTGGTGTATTCATTTTGCTGCTAAGTGGTGGAAAAAGCTCGCATATTCTTGTTTTCAGTGAAGATCTTTTCTTTATATACCTTCTGCCGCCTATAATATTCAATGCTGGGTAAGTCTGTTGCTTTGCACCATCATATAATTTGTAAGTCCAATGGATTGCATTTATTTGTTTATTTTAATGAATTTGTTCTCTATAATGTATATCAGGTTTCAGGTGAAAAAGAAACAGTTTTTTGTCAACTTCATGACTATCACGTCGTTTGGTGCTATTGGCACACTAATATCTTGCTGCGTCATAACTTTGGGTATGCTTTACCTCTTTAGATTTATAAGTTAGGTTTATATAAGATTTGTTATAGTAAGGCTGTTATCTAAACATGTGGCATTGTTTCAGGTGCTACGCAAGCTTTTAAGAGGATGGATATTGGGCCACTGGAATTGGGCGATTACCTAGGTATTATACTAGTCAAACTTATTTATGTTGTCAGCTACTCATTCGGCTTGTGACTTACTAATTCGTGATGATTTTTAGCTATTGGAGCAATATTTGCCGCGACAGATTCTGTTTGCACGTTGCAGGTTTGAAAACAATGTAGTTTTTGCATTCTTCCAGCAAGTAATGCATGACGAATAATTACTGACGTTGTAAATGATTATGCAGGTGCTAAATCAAGACGAGACACCTTTGTTGTATAGTCTTGTATTTGGGGAAGGTGTTGTGAATGATGCTACCTCAGTGGTGCTTTTCAATGCAATCCAAAGCTTTGATCTCAACCAACTTAACCCTTCAATTGCATTGCACTTCTTGGGCAACTTCTTCTATTTGTTTATAGCAAGCACTCTCCTCGGTGTTTTGGTAAATGTCTTTCTCTGTCTAGTTTTCTCATGCACGCGTGACACATACGAGCTATAAATCAAAAGTAAGCGCACACATACACATAGATATGACTTGTGTTTTGGTCTAATTTATTTCTATCACCTTGCAGACAGGTCTGCTCAGTGCTTACGTTATTAAAAAGCTCTACATTGGCAGGTATCGTCCAGACATCTTGTCATTCCCATTGTATTTTCAGTAGTAACCATGATATGATGGTATTTCCATATTGAGTGCTATGTAGGGAACATGATTATTTGAAACAATTCTTTGCTGAAGTTTAAACAATTTTATTCTTGATTCCAGGCACTCTACGGATCGTGAGGTTGCTCTTATGATGCTAATGGCATACCTCTCCTATATGCTGGCTGAGGTAGGTTTTATAGAACTTCGGTAATGTGTCTGGATGCTTCCGACATTTCTCACTAGCTTGGTGCTGACTTATCTTCATCTTGTGCAGTTATTCTATCTGAGTGGCATTCTCACCGTCTTCTTTTGTGGTATTGTCATGTCGCATTATACCTGGCATAATGTGACTGAGAGTTCAAGAGTCACCACCAAGTATGTCTTCTAAACAGATTTTGTCACGATATGTTCACTGTCTGAGTGTCTCTACATAGACATATCTGTTATACACCTAAACATATCTTTTTTGTGTAACTCTCCACAGGCATTCTTTTGCTACACTGTCGTTTGTTGCTGAGATCTTTATCTTCCTTTATGTCGGTATGGATGCCCTGGACATTGAAAAATGGAAGTTTGTTAGTGATAGGTATGTCCTATGTTCTCTATTGAACTGGTGATTAGTCACTCCGACACGAGCATTTTTATTTTAATGTCATTCATCATTTCATGTGCCGCATTTGGTTTCTTCTGCAGTCCCGGAACATCTATAGCAACAAGTTCAGTATTGTTGGGTTTAGTACTCCTTGGAAGAGCAGCTTTTGTTTTCCCCTTATCCTACTTATCCAACTTGACTAAAAAATCACAGTATCAAAAGATCTCCTTCAGACAGCAAGTATGACGAAATTTCTATTAAGTACACTTTTCTTTATTTCCTGCACTTCAATACCAAGTTATTATGATAACATGTTTCTTTTTCCGCTCATTTTAGGTGATCATTTGGTGGGCTGGTCTTATGAGAGGTGCCGTTTCAATGGCACTCGCTTACAATCAGGTATGAGTAACACGTCTGCTGTTGCTGCCGTTGTTGTAATTGTCACTAAAGATGGGAATTCATGCATAAAAAAACTTATACTAATTAATTATTTAATGCAGTTCACTATGTCGGGGCATACTCAGCTCCGCAGCAATGCAATCATGATCACCAGCACGATCACGGTCGTCCTTTTCAGCACAGTGGTAAACCATCAGTTTATAGTTTCATACATTATTAGACATATGAAAAATTGTATACAGATGAAACTAACACAAGTTAATTACAAATTTATCAGGTGTTCGGTTTACTGACGAAGCCACTCATAAGGCTTCTACTACCTCATTCTAAAGTCACAACCAGCATGACAACCACAGAAACATCTACTCCAAAATCATTCATTGTCCCACTTCTAGGAAACTCCCGAGATTCCGAAGCTGATCTCGAAGGCCATGAAATTCACCGTCCAAACAGCCTTCGTGCCTTACTAGCCACTCCAACTCACACCGTTCATCGACTATGGCGAAAGTTTGATGATTCGTTCATGCGTCCCGTTTTCGGTGGCAGAGGTTTTGTTCCTGTAGAACCCGGCTCACCTAGTGAACGCAACGGTAACAGTCATTGGTAATAATCCAACGGCTCAGCTAGCTGATAAGAAAAATATGTTGTATACTATTTGTGAAAAATCAAGCAATGTGTGTATAATGTATGTATGCATAAAAACATGGTAAAAATCTTGTGAAGTTGATCGAGTAGCTAGGACACGGAAAGGCCTTGTACCACAACAAGACATCTCTGTCTCTTTTGTAAACTACAATATATTTTAGATTCTATGAGCCACTACGTGTTTGTGTGTGTTGGTTTTTTTGGTTGTCTGCAATGAACCTAATAAATATCTCGCATTTTATTGTTATTTTGTTAATGGATTGAGTTGAACCTATGTCTCCTTACTAATTCATCTCTTATGTCTACTAAATCACTAATTTTTTTTAATGATATAATTAACCAATTATCAATACATACTATATACTACTAATTTGGTTATGGATGATTAGACTATTACTTTTGACAACGAAAATTAGATTGATGAATTGCAAACTTTATTATGATTGATGTGCTTCAATGAATTTTTTTTTTAACCATCTCATAATCCCAGAATTTTAACCCTTCCATTAATTCGGTAGAAATTTTAACTAATAGAAAAGGTTACAGTTGTGTCACAAATGTATGGAAATTTCACGTAATTTGAAATTTTCAGTTGTTATTTTTACCAGTTTTTTAGAAAAGTTTAGCATGTCTTATATATATATATATATATATATATATATATATATATATATATATATATATATATATATATATATATATATATATATATATATATATATATATATATATATATATATATATATATATATATATATATATATATATATATATATATATATATATATATATATATATATATATATATATATATATATATATATATATATATATATATATATATATATATATATATATATATATATATATATATATATATATATATATATATATATATATATATATATATATATATATATATATATATATATATATATATATATATATATATATATATATATATATATATATATATATATATATATATATATATATATATATATATATATATATATATATATATATATATATATATATATATATATATATATATATATATATATATATATATATATATATATATATATATATATATATATATATATATATATATATATATATATATATATATATATATATATATATATATATATATATATATATATATATATATATATATATATATATATATATATATATATATATATATATATATATATATATATATATATATATATATATATATATATATATATATATATATATATATATATATATATATATATATATATATATATATATATATTTCAAATGGATGAGTGGAAAGTGTGGTATAACTTTTTTTTAAAATTTTTTATTGTACTCTAAATGTTTTTAATGTATTGTGAAATTCTAGGTATGTCTTTTGATTTTAGAGATATATTTTTGGACGCATCCTAGTACATATTCAACAAAGACCATTATGAACTACGCCATTTTTTTGGGTTTAATTTATTCTAGAGATGCATTTTCAAAATAATTCCTTAGTTACATCTCCAGATTCACACCAGAAACAAATTCAACAGAAAAGTAACTTTTCAAAATGAAATTGATATTTATAACACAAAATGATCATTACAATGGTGATTTCAACAGAAAATTTAATATTATATTTCAATATTTCGGTGGATGCTTGCACACCTTCAGAATATTTTCGACCGATCTTTGTAGCGTCAGTTACAACTCGAGCAGAACTTTTTCTTTGAACTTGAAAAACGTATTCTACATAGCTGTAACATCCGCTTGTGTCTTGAACTCAAATTTGGAGAACTGAATCTTTCATCCGTTGTCAATTGAAGGTGAACGGTACTTGAACTTCACAATCTTTCAATTGTTTCTATAAGATAAGAGACGGTGAATTTCGTATTTGATATCTTCGTGGGAGGTGAAGTCGGTGAGCTTGAACGTTCAGCTGTGTGTAGAGCCGGAGAAGGACACATTTGCGACATATCAATAGATGTTTATTTGTGATATTTGAGACATGTTGAGTTTGTGTGAAATATAACATTAGAGTATCTAAATTTATAGAAGTCAGATCAATTTGGATCATACATTAACTGTAATATTGATTCCGAAGATATATCTCTAGAACTGCACCCTATTATCTTGTTCGAGAGATATATCTCCAGAATTTGTCATGAACCAATTTCAAAACAGAACCATATAACATAACCTTATTTTTCCATTGACAAAATAACACATGTTGATATAGGGAAGATAAAAAATGCATAAAGACAAAATATGAATAAAAGGTAAATATCACTTCATTTATAGTGTGACACAATTACATACAATTATTTGTCCGGTTAAACAAGAAATCAAAACGAATCGAAACGTATGTCGCCGGCTAAACCTATAGGTGGTACCTCCTTGGACTTTTGTGCAAATGTTGCTAAATCTCTCGAATTCTTGCATCATTTTCATAAAATGATCCGGACATGTCTCGGTTTTTGCGGTTGAATGATTCGTCCACTCTGGTGATGTAAGTTGTATAAGGCATCCCAGTTTCAAGTAAACTTGAATAAAATGACTTGATTTTGAAAGCCATCCAATACACATGATTTGTTCATTTGGATTTTGGGGTGAGACGATACGTAGTGGGAAAAAGGTTTCTTAAAAACCATAGTGTGTCAGGTCAACACACACTCTATCATATGCACATGCTATTAGGTGACCAATATCAGGAAAACACATCCATTTTGCCTCCGATGTCGGACCACTCAAGCAAGGAAAAAAGACTCATAAATTGTATCGAAATTTTCTTTCTTTCCGTACAACCGCGTGAACGATTCTTTATGTATTTTCAACTCTTGGATTAGTTGATGTGGGACAAGTGTGTAACTTTCTTCTCCTTTAGTGAGTAAATCCAAAACGGCTCAGTAACCGCAATTACCGTCCCCCACAACATTGAAGATTCACTCGATATATTTGTGCATAAAAATCAACATCTCGTCGATGAATGAAATCTTCGGTAGAAGCGGCGCCAGAGTTAGTTTGCTAATGTGGGCTCCTTTCATAACACTTTTTTGAGACTTTGAAGTTGGTGAGTCGGAAAAAACTTTGTCAACATGTTCAAAATATGAAGGAGGTCGTGTAGTCAAGTTATCATTCGGTGTAGGCTTCATTTTCTTCGGAGTACCTTTTGTTTTTACTAGTTGAGAAGGCAGTTTCATGTCGGTGGTTTTGGGATAGACGATCTTCCTTAATTGTTGTTTGATGTGGAGTTTCATGTTGTCACCGGCCTTAAAAAATCTCTCTTGTATTACTTCCATTCGGTAAAAATAGAGATATTCGATTTAGCGTCATCCATGCATCCACCATCATCAAACCTAAGTCTCTTCCAATGAGTGCAAACCTCATCCATTCTTATTGGTTCACCAAGTTTTACCTTTTTAGCAATAACGTAAGCACATGAGTGACCATATGTTTTCACAATAGTGCATCCACACTTTGCGCCATCGAAGCCTACATTATTAACTTTACTATTTTCCAACCAAATTTTTAAAGTAGCATGGGATGACTCAACTCTGTTGGTAGTTGTATTTCCAATGTGTCTAACATTATCAGTCCACAGACAAACTATATTCTCTTTCACCTAATCAAGAATTGTGCTTTCAGCATATTTCAACAAATATGGATATTTTTCACACACTTTCCTGAAATGAATAACAAAATTGATATATAGTTCTTTTGTGGAAGAATTTATTATACGATTCCATGCATTCATTATTTTTTTACAATCACACCCACATTCACCAATTTTTCACCTTCAGACTCTATTTGTTTCATCCCAACCGCGAGTTTAACTGGACTTTTCACATTCTTCGTTATGTGATACTCACAAAGTAACGCATAAGATGAAGGAAATACCTTTGCAACCGAATTCATCAAAGCGGTATCGTGGTCGGTAACAATCGCTTTAGGCATCTCACCTTAGACCTTCAAAAGTGAGTGACACACCTCTAACGCCCAAGTAAAATTGTCCTCTTTTTCACACTCAAGAAACACAAAACCAACATAATATGTCTTCTCAATTGAGGTAACACAAACCATCTTAAATAATGGAAGTTTATACTTGTTGGTCTTGTAGGTTGAATCAAATATATGCACGGTAGGAAATGTGTTGCACAACTTTATGGAATCAGGATGAGTCCAAAAAATACATCTAACTGTAACTCCATCATCGCACGTTCGGTACTTGAACACATAACTGTTATCATCTAACAGATTCAAGAGTTGTTGCATGATATTTGATATATTGTCGGGTCGTTTCCATTTCAATGTTGCAAGTATATTTTTTGGTTGAATAAGATTCAAGGTCATGCCAGCAATACATTCCTTCTCTTCTGGCTTGAGCTGACAGACACTAGGATGGCCGACTAATTTTAAGCACAAATCATGGTTATGCAAACCACAAATAGCATTAAATCTCCAATTTTTGTTTGCCAACATGTAACCATGAACCATAAACTGACACTTACATTTTCTATTACTCGTGTCGTCTCTTTCAAAATTCTGGAGAGAAGTTTGATATTTTCCACTTCTTTCGCACATCATTGTTATAAAGGCGTATCTTCTATCCAAACCACTATTGGACCTTCCGATAACCACCTCAAATCCAAGTTTAGAGGCATCCATACAAATTCATTTAAGCATTTTATCACGAGATTCAAACTCTTGCTTGTTTTTAAAGTCGTTGTCAACATCTATCTCCTTCACAAAAACCCCTTGAACATTCGGAGAAACAATCACACCTTGGACGTTCAGATAAACAACTTGTTTTAGGAAAATATCATGGTACACCATATCTAATGAAAACAATTAAAACAGTAACAGAACGTAAGGTCAACTACTGTTGCAAAATGAATGCAAAAATGAACACATACAACTTCCAGAAATGCATCTCCGAACAAGTTCATACAC